TCCCATAAAAATTGATGGTTTGATGATGTAGAATAATGAACATTTCCTAAAAGGAAATATAGCAATAAAAATAGAAGACAAATCAGAAACAAATGGGGGGCAATGTGCACTATTGATGACAATGTTACATAGCATATTTTCAACTGAGGTTATTTGCACTTTTTCAGTTAAAAATAGCAATAAGAAATTGAGGGAAAGTTACTGCTTGTGCAATATTGGGGAGCATGGTCAGAGTCCAGGAGAACTTTCCATATGTAGTAATCTACTTGAAATTAACTATAAAAGACTGGAAAAATTTAGAGAAAAATGGAGGATAATACTGATTGTTGCTTTCAATGTATATGTAGGTACTCTCTGTAGGTAAATGGAAATATACACTTTATCCAATGTAAAATAGCAATACTATATATATATATAGTTAATGGGTATAAATCTGATGGGCTTTCAGGAGGTGGTCACATGACTAGTTTCCTAAATAATCAAAAATGTGAATGTTGTGGTGCTGCATTGTAGCTTCCTGAATATAAAAAGGACTTGTATCTGCCATGCTTGCAATGGCCCTCTTGCACAAGTTACTATTCTACAAAACATACTTAGCAGAGAAATAAAAATCTGTGTGAATTGCCTTTGAGGATTATTTGAGTTGGGCAAAATATCTTGAGAGATGGGAGGGGCAGACACAATCCTCTGCAACACACCCTTCGGAGCGAGCCTTGCGGATGAGCTGGCACTTGGCTGACACAGCTGCGAGGGTGTCGTTGATGGCTCAGTGGACGCTCCATCAGTATAGGATCCTGCCATATGTTGTTTGATCATTCGGTCGGCATGCATCACCCTATAATATGTTCAAAGGAGAGAATAATCATAACACAGCATAGGCATACCTGACTTTAGTAACGAAGATGTCCGTGATCGTGCTGATCGGCCACTGCTCGTTGCTGCAGAGCTCTCGAAGTTCAGGAGAGCTCATAAAGAGCCCGGACTTGTTTCGCGCAGTGCGATTCTTGCCGCTGTAGACAAGTATGCCAGCGACGTCGAAGGAATGATCACGCCGTTTGATGGTCGTGATCTAAGTGAGAATTAGTGGAGCGCGTTGAACTGGCATGGTCATGTACCATGTCTGTAATTGTTTTGAGGTGCTCCGCAAAGCGCAAAGATGCATCGCGAATACTGGTACCCTCATCAGCAATTTGCTCCTTAACAAATTTGAATGCTTCCGCCATTCGCTCGTCCTTCTCCTCACTCGTGTCTGCACCTTCCATGAGTTTCCTATACTCCTCATTGAGGTTTTTGTTCCATGTCTGCAAGCCCTCTATAGTGATTTCATCATTTTCATCAGCGGCAATAGTAAGTTTCTGAACTGAGATACATACCATGATCATCGTCGTCAGGCTTGGACCTGCTAGCAAAAGTCTTGAATACATTGTAACGATTGGGGGCCCTCTTCTCTTTCTGTAATAAATTAGCCTTTTCCATTACAAAATCAGGAGAACGGCTATTGAGGTGGCTGAGACAAGCTGCGTATTGCCATACAATCCTGCCGAACAATCGATACAGCGCACTCTCCATGAGAGAAGGCTTCTGAGATGAAACAGTGTCGACCTTGGGAATTAGCTCCTCTGGCATCAAGTTGAGGTTGAAACTTCTCAACACTGCAGAGGCATCGAGTTCAGAGGGCGACAGGGAAGCCTTCAGTGCATCCCAAGAGATACCGGCTGGTGGTGAAATGGTTGGATTCGGTGAAGTTTTTTTGTTGTCAGAGCTGGTCCTCTTACTTTGAGCTGCCGCGAGACCTTTGGAACATCCAGATGCCTTCGAATTCATCTCTTCCTGCAATTCGCGCTGCATCTCGCGATCTTCTTCTTCATCCTCCTCCTCCATGTCCGTTGCAGGCTTTCCCCTTGACCTGAGCCGAGCCCTCTCTGTCTCCTTGTCGCGCCAAGTTTCTTCATAGTCTGAGCCACTCAAGTCACTTTCTATCATAGGATCGGGGGCTTCCCAGTCCTCACCTCCCCTGCACTTAGCCCTTTGAGCGGCACTGGCGAGCTCAGCACGGCGAGTTGTTTCAGCCTCTGCAATCTCCCAGTTTAGGGCATCAATATAATCTTGAGGGTCGTGAGGGGCAGTGTACCCTTCGGGAATGGATACCTATTTCTCTTTCTCCTCATCCCATATTTCGGTGAGTCTGTCAGCAGTGTTCTGGATACCCTCTCAAGGGTTTTGGCCTTGGTAACGAATAAAGCCCTCCTCCCATGGTCTTTTAAACTTGTAGGCGGCTTCATCTTGCTCGAGCCCTGCAACCAGCGCTGCTTCTTCCTCTTTTGATATATTGTAAAGGAACTCAAGCTCAATCTCGGGGTCACCAGGATGGCGGGAGAGGTTGAGTTCATTGAAAGCCTTGCGAGCCTCAGGGTGGGCATAAGCCACACATTGATGATCTTGTTTGCAAAAGTCATTGACCGCCTCGATGTAATCTTCTGGGGTGTGTGGAGCTGTATATCCAGCCGGAATGGGGACCCAGCAGAGAGTTTCGTCATCCTGCATCATAGTGCAGTCATCCGCTGGACTGCGCGGCCCCTTCACAGGGCGACGACCATGGTATTGCCTGTACCTGCCCTCTAGATAGGAGAAGCGGTAGGCTGTATCGCGTGATTCCAGTTCTTGATTCATTGCTTCGATCTCATCGTTGTCGAAATCGGCCAAGGATAAGAGTGTCACCCGAGGGGGAGGGTCATCTTTGGTAGCTGATGCTGGTTCAGGAATCATGGTCACCACAGGGTCCAGTGCACCGGGAGCGGTGGTCACCGTGGTTTGCGCAGTGGGAGCGGTTTTCCTTGTTGCAATTGGCACAGCGACAGTGGGTGCCGACGCAGCACTAGATTCCAAAAGCGACTGTTCAACTCTGCCAAACTATAGTCAGTTATTTGTTTCCAGAGCCGCCGCTGCCTCGTCGACTGACTTAGAGTCTGGCCGACCTGGCTTGCCGACTTAAAGTCTGGCAAGGAATCGACTGAAGTCTGATTCCGCGATGAATGAACAATATAACACAAATGCCTCACCTTGCTGTAACCCCAGCTGTCTCCATTCGAGAACGGGTTTTGCTAGGCTGCATGAGGACACAGTCTATAAGCTCACGTGGCTTCTTGTGGGGTTGCGGAAGGGCGGTCGGTGCCTCTTGCAGGGCGACATCCTCACCAGCTCCCCCATGATCAGCGGGGGGAGCAGGCTCTCCACCATTGGCAATCTGGGCATTGCGGTCTTCGGTACCTCTGACTCGAAGGGCCTGAAAGTAACGCCACATCAATATAAATGAATTGTGGCAGGAGGATGGGGCGAACTTACGGCTTTCTTGCTACCAGGCGTGCCAGAGTTTGAATTTTTTTTGTTTTTTGCTCAGGGTGGCATAATAAGAATGGGAGTTGGTTTCTAGTTGGTGGTATGTCAATTGGTGCGAAAGAGAGCTCTGCGAGAGAGGATGAGCTGTTAATAAATGTTTGAGGGAGTCGACTCACATGAGCCCATATTTGGCTTTGATGGAGAGGGGCAAATAAAGTCTTTATATCCAAGGGCGTGAAGATGGGAGCTGTTAGTGCAGCAACTCCAGAAGGGCCTCAAGAAGGCAGAGTAATGGTATTTAGTATGGATTGGCATTTAGGCGCTAGCCCCGATTGCCAATAGTAAAGTGCATAGCGGACTCTCTACGATGAAAAAAATGACAACTACATCATTCTATGGGATTCATTATCTGAAATATCTTCGATGCAAAAGATATGCATCCCATTTGGGCAGGGAGAATGCACCTCGCTTCGTATTGGACTACTAGGAAGCACATCAGAAGATACTCATACTGCTGCAAAATTGCACTTACCGTGCTCTGCATTCCCAATTCATGTGCAGAGTAAAGTCCCAGAGGTTCGTCCTGACGACGCATTGAAATTTGACATGGCGACGTGTTGAAAGTTGACATGGCCACTTTTAACAGTGTTGGACTTGCATCGGCGAGAAAATTGAGATGTCTTTTTGGCCAGCCACAATAGAGTGCGTTTTGAAAGGGTTGGAGGCGATGACTTTCAGCCAATTTGTGATGATGAT